GGCCTCGTGGGAGTTATTTTTCTTCCGGTGAAGGATGAAGAAGTGTGCTGGACGTTTTGGCATGTCTGCGGAATCGAAGCGATGCCGGACGGAAGCACTGCGTTCCGTGGTAGACCGAAGTTCTTCGTGTGATATGCCACAGACGACGTCGCATCGAGAAAGTCTTCACGCTTCCTGCAAAGGAACAGGAAGCCATCTCGTTTTGACGGGGATTCCCTTTGCAAGAACCTTCGACCCGACCCATTGAGAAAGCGTGAAGTTGGAATTTTCCATCGACTCGCCTCGACTCCGTATCCGGAATTCGACTTAATCTGCTGGTGGAATTCCCGAGTCCATTCGAGATGCTTTCGCTCGCCGAATTTGGTGGGATCCTTTCCTTCGTGGAATTCTCGACGATACTTTTTAGGGTGAGGCTGAAAACGAACTGGACTTAATCACGATGAAGTCTCAGCCTAAACGAACTCGGAAGAGACTCGGACCAGAGAAGAAGTCTTCAAATCGGCGCGAGCTCAGGCCGATGGAATCGAAAAGGACTGGGCTCGGGTCGAAAGAGTAACGCCAGTTCGGCAGAGGTGGGCTCGGGCCTGAAAATCTCGGCCCGCCTCATCTCTATTGCCAACAATCGTTGCACCGAAGCAAGAAAATGCGCTTGCATCTTTCCCCATTAAAAGAGTTTTGAACTCGGGCGGATACTCGCACGAGTTCGTATGGAAAACGCCTTACCATCACGACAACCGTGCCGAAGTTTGCCCGCTTCAATATGAAGACCACGGCAGCGCTCGACAGAGCGTTCCCCATTCAAACGGCCGAGATCGCGCAGAACGGCCGGAACGACGTCGGGTCTTCCCGACCACAGCAGCTCGAATGCCAGACGACGGTTCCACGCGTCCACGCGCTGCTCTCCGCGTGGCGTTCACGGCCTCGCATTGCTATGCGGTGAACGCAGCCCTGTCCTGCCTCCAGTCGGCTCTCCTCTCGGCATTAACATCCTCTCGTTACTTTCTGATCGGTGCGGACCCAGTGGCGGGCCCAGGGAGAGGGGGGCGACCGTCCTCCCGAAGGCCAGGTTGCCATTTTTTTGTATAGCTTCTACATTAATTTTCATTGGGACCAGTGAAACAGATATTAAAGTGTTCGTCCCAGACGAAAAATGAAAAAGGCGATAGGGCGGGTAGTGGTGGAAGGTGCGGGGAGGTGGAGGGAAGGAGGTTAGGTAGGAACTTGGAAACCGCCCCCCCCCCCTCCATGAGAAACATCTGTATTCGCCACTGTGCAGACGTACGCTGCCTCGCCACTTCCGTTCTGCGGGCGTGCCGCATCACATCCTAATTATTTAGCTGTTGAATACTTGGAGTCCTGCAGCCGTCGGATCACGTCCTACGCCAATAGCAAATGCAGATCGCCGGAGTCGAAAGAGTTCACTCATCCTGCCTCGCCTATGACCTGGAAAAGCTAAAATTATGGGACTTTCTCGAAATAGAGCGAACGGTGAACTGTTTTGTCCGGTCGACTGCAGAGACTGTGGCTGAGAGATCTCTCAGAATTTCGGATTCACGACTCGGTTTTTTTTTTCCATTCGGGCGGACACGCATAGCTAAATCGATATTTCACGGGATTGTCTCACGGAGAGCAAAGACGTCATTTCGGAGAGGCAAAAGGGGGGGCCAACTGCCCCCCCCCCCCCCCCCCCCCCCCCCCCC